AGAGAGAGAGAGAGAGAGAGAGAGAGAGAGAGAGAGAGAGAGAGAGAGAGAGCGCGTGAGTGCTTGGGTCTTTTGAACTCGTTCCGACATGCCTGGAAATTCTTTTCGTGAACTTGCAACACTCGAGCCTCCCGCCAACTGCCCTCAGTAAATAATCCCTCTCCGGGTACATGTGGCAGTCTCGCGTCGATCGTGTCGTCGACGTGAAGATTGAAGCGCCAGCTGTGGGCTCTCATGAGGCTGTCCATGGCCTCGTTCATGCCCCCCTTATCTCCCGCCATCAGTTACAGGCGAAATATGCACCCAGCTCCTCCGTACGTGTGTGTCCCACGTGATGTGTAGTCTAGACTGCTTCACGTGTCAACAATTACAGCAGTGTTCATCGGCCGAAACGCGGCGGATCTCGGTGATTTGCACTGACCATGGAGCACGTGACGGGTGCTGTCTCCTTCTTGGTGGAGACCTTTCGGACAAGTAGTCCCTCCTCCCGCAATATTCTTCTTCTTGTCCAGACCAAGCGATCTACTGGTGTACTCGGCCACTCTTTCAGTCTCTCGCTGTCCGTGTGCATGCGACATGCGTCATCTCCCCGTGCCCCGTGCTCGTCGCGCAGGGAGGTTCATCCCAGAACCATATTCCGAACCGGTTCTCCTGTTTTTGCTTCCAAACTGAGTCCAAACTCAGCCACACTCCAATCTCCAACCAGCTGGGCGCGTAGCGCTCCTGCGCAGCAGTTGCTACAGACATTTGACTTATGTCGCAGCGCACGATGCGGTCTACGGGCGAGCTGAGGTTTCAATTTGTCCAGGGGAAGACAGCGTGTACTACTGCTTACGCGAGGTAACGTTATCTAGAGTGTGAACTTGATGTCCTCGCCGTTTTTGTAGGCAAGGGCAAGGACTGCTTCCTGTCTTCTGTACACGCCTGGCTGAACCTGACATGTTGACGCGACCGCCGTAATCGCCTGTGTCTCGCGCTTTGGCAGATATCCTATCAAGTTCGTATCAGCAACTAGGGCATCTGATGGAGGCTGTTCCTGGGTGGTGAGTTTGTTGGGATGTGTTGCGATGCAACACAACCCCCCGTTGCTGTTGTTGAAAAGGTTGAAAACAGGTAATTCTTTTTTTCTCCTCCCATGATTGGACACACTGTTAGGGGTGCCAATCGGGGCGATTTTGGCGGCAAAAAAGTGACCGGTCTATTCGAGGATTTTGAGAAAAAAAGGGGGGGCACGCGGACTTTTTGGTTCTCAAGTCAGCTCTTGAATCATACCGATCAAAGTATACTTTATCCTCCGTACTTTGTATAAGTAGCTCTGCGTCCAGGTAGCGACGTGGCTCTTCATACGTTGCACACATCTGGACACAAGTCCAATAGAGGACACTGCAAGCTCGGTTTATGCTTAAGTTTATAGGGCGGATGAACAACCCAGAAAAACCTACAAATTTCAGCTGTATGGCCAATGCCCGAGGCCGCCTCTGACTTTCTTGAGAAAGCGAGCTTGCAGTGCACCACCTTGGGAGTTAGACCACACAACACAAAAGACCGAACTGGAATCGCTCAAGTCAACAGCGAGATCTACACGTCTGAAAATGGTCTTCCAAGCGGGTCTCCTGCAGCGCCTGTCAGGGAAGCACAGCAGCAAAAAAACCGTAACCAAAAAAACAAGAGGCGCGTTTTTGGTGGCGGCAGCAGGCGAGCCGCGAAGAACCTCAGGAAAAACCAAGCCAAGTACGAACAGGCGTCGGGGCAGTCTGTGTACGCCGCCTGCGCAGCGTCAAACACACGGCGTGCGGTCGAAAGGGGCGGTGTTGCCGCCGCACAGAAAGCGCTGACAGAAAAGGAGCATGAGTTGGTCGAAAGTAAACAGCGCGAGGCGGCAAGCACCGCTGAGTGCAGCATGGCTCAGGAGCTCGCGCGCGAGAGCACCGAGGCGCTAAAGGAGGAGAAGGCTAAGAGAGCAGAGGCAGAGCGGTCGCAGCAAGAGGCAGAGCGGAGGAAGCAAGAGGCTGAACGAGACAAGGCGAAGGCGGAGGCGGTGGGCGTAGATGATGGGTGCTTCCTCGCTGCTGCTGTTTTTTTCGCCAGCAGCAGGAGGAGCACTGCTTCCTCCAGCAGGAGGAGTCCGCGCGGTCCCACCGCCCGGCGGCTGTTCGAGTGAGCCACCAGGCATGTTTGCTAGGTTGCGGACGGCGCTAGGGTGCCGCTAGGGTGCCGTGTGCAACCTCCACGGCACGGCGGAACGCGTTCACACACGCTTCGCGCTCGCGGGGCGTCAGGTGTTTTTTGGTTCTGGCGGGGTTCTTCGGAACGTTCGATGTGATTTTTTTGGCTCGAGCGATTTTCCATCTGGAAGATCCAGGACACTTTTCGAAAATTTTTCCTATAGGAAATTTGACCGATTGGCACCCCTAACTGTCGTTTGCCCCTCTGGCCCCCATCCTCCACTTCTACTAAATAGCTAGACGACCCAACCGGGGACACATAGCAGGGGGGGATTAAACCCCCTCCTGCGGTTCCTGCTAGAGATATTTTTATGGCGAAAAGGGTGCAGCAATCCCTTCCCTCTGACTCATGAAGTCGATCAAGTTTACGGACAACAGGCTTGGCAAAACGTCGCTTCCAACGGAGACCAGGATTTAACTGGCTCCTGGCTGTACCATCATCTCCCGTCACAAGCGACTGACTTATCACGCAATGCCAGACTAGCTCGTTCTATTTATTGCTGCCACCGCTGCTGCTCCCCGGTCCTATCGACGGAAAGGGTAATCGCCAAACGTACGTTTTATCAGCACAAAATAGCAAAGCACACATGCGGCCACCAGCACCGCAGTTGGATGCATGCCGCAGTTAGTAGCAGACGCGTGACGCTGGTCATGCCTCAAATGTTTCGATCCTCCTGCTGATGCCACTGCTGTTGCTGTTTGCTGTTCCTGTTACTGTTACTGCTGCTGCTGCTTGTGGTCTGTGTACATCTGAATCAACGGTATGATGTCGACAAAGTACACGTTAGGCTATGGAGGAGGCGCAGTTTGCGGCGACGAGGTGACTATGACCTGCCATGTCGAGGAGAACAGCACAGCGGCGCTCACTACACAGGGATCCACGAAGGTAGGTGGGCAAAGTACTGTACGCGGGAGCAAGTTATCATTCGGAGTCTCCGCATGATAGCGTGTACAACATGCCGCTGTAACGCCATGCTCGTGTATGAAATGAACGGTCGGAACGGGCTTTTTTCAGTGGATCATGCCATTCACCACCTGTACGGTATCAAGCAGCGCAGCAGCGCCCACCCCGGTCGATTTTCATTCCCGAGTGAGCCTCCTGCCCAGCGCCCTGGCTATACCGGCATCTCATAATCATTCTCGAAGCAGGTCTTCAAGCGAGGGTCAAAGAGCGAACATGCAACTGCAACCGAGCTCGAATCGGACCAGATCCACAGGGCTTCTCAAACACTCCTCTCCCGAGTGGCAAGGGCGGCTCTGCTGGTGGTCGTTCCTGACCCTGTGACCTGCTTCGAGAACTCCAGTTTCAGACAGGTAGGCGTTGGGTGGATTGCAAGTCGCTCCGATTGTCTCCAAAATTTCGGTAGACCTTGACATGCTTAAAAAGCTGTTGGCGGAGCGATAGTTGCGGCTGAGGGCTCTCGCTACGGGCCGTTGTGTATCGATGCGGCGGCTTACTTCAAGCAATACCCCTGGCGACAGGTGTGAAGTCGGGGTGTCCTGATTCGAAGAATTGTTTCAGCTGCCGTCCATGGTTTCCCAGCGGTCCGCGCACTTTGTTCCCTCCGCAATCACCTTGCAACAGCACCAACGATTCCTGCTGGAGCATGGCTCTAGCTTGGTCCTCGTCGACTGGTTGACGAGCGGGCGCATGTCACGCGGGGAGGGCTGGGCGTTCAATCGCCTGGAGTCAAGAAATGAGGTCATGGTTCAGGCATGTGTGCGTGCGAGCGCTCGGTTCTCGCCAAAAGCGTGTGGCGGTTTCTTTTCGTTGTGCCCCATTGTCACAGTTTTCGAGTTCCAAAGGCGCCGGTTTGAAATAATTGGATCATTTGAAGCTACTTTGAAGTAAATAATTGTTCAACTAGCCAATACCCTTTTGGGATCCTCATGATCAGGGTCCGAGTGATGTCGACTTGCACAAGAACGCCTACGGTGCGTACCGGAGCCGATCGCTAGCTTTATAGAGTGTTCGCGCTTTGCGGGAAGAAGAGCGGGGTTTGGCAACAAAGTTTAAGATTGATGTGTCGGCATCCTACCCTCGGATGAGTTATTAATGTTCCCCTCTCCGAAGCCGTGTGCCTCATATTACCTTAACTGGAACCATGTCTGAGCCCTGAGAACGCAAGAGTTCAATCATTATCGCACTCTGAAAGCATGACGTTTTATTTCGGCGCATGTGTGCGGTCGCCTTTAGACTTTATTTTTCGACAGTCTTCGCTTACTGGAGCACGTCAGTCTCTCGATCACAGCGTCCCGTGACGAGCTCGAGACTCCAAAGGCAAGAAGCGTTACAGCACCGTGAATTTAAGCATCCATTTGTTCAGACATTCAGTTAGACGTTGGGATGTGGTGAATCGGTTTAAAACGCGTTTTTACCCGCTATTCGGCTGTCGTCGCCGACCTGAGGGTGCCAAGTTGACGATCACAACGTCCCTGTCGCGAGCTCAAGACTCCAAGGGCGAGACGAGTTACAGCATCGTGAAAAACGCTGAAACTCCAAATCTCCTGCGCCAGGGCGAATCTACGCACGGTGCTGTCAACTATACAGAATCGCTCAGCTTATTGGACAAGAGGCTTTGTTGGAGAACGTCAACACATCAACCATGACGACAAACACCGATGACGGCGAATTTTTTGCTGATGCCGAATACTAGACGAGTTGAACTACAGTAGCTGCCAACATTGAACCCTGATGGCTGTGTTGCTCGCGGCAGGCCCATGTTCTGTTTTGCTGCTGTAGACTTTTCCACCGCAAGACAGGCTAGCTAACTACCTAATACGTCCAGATTGAAACCGATTCAATTTCGTCTGAGAGCAACCTCCAAGTAGGGGTTGCGCAAAGAAGTTGTGAATAAAAGCATTCGAATTTTCCATCATGTCGCAACATTTAGTCGGAACCTCTTTTCCATCTCCGTGCCCTTGGGTATGCTGTGCACAGTCTTCACACACCACCCTTCCTTTCAGCCTGACCCTGAGGGCGAGGGTGTCAGGCGAGTGCCCCTCCGGCGGCCGAGCCCGGCGGCCTAGTACAATGAAATTTTGTGAATGCTCGGCAAACGCGCGTTTCACATCGTGTGGCCAACTCTCTGTTGCCCCTGTGACCAGTCATGTACAATGGGTGAAGGGCGAGACGAGGACAACTCGGGTGGGTGGAAGCCGCTGGTGTTCGACTCTCTAGTGCTGGAGGAGCTGCCAGGTCTAACAGTCCGCGAGAGAATGTTGGGAATGAACGTGAGCAAAAGAGGTTTCATGGATGTCAAACATCGATGGGCCCTGGAACATGAGGATTCCATGGACCCATCGCAGTGAATCATACCCTCGGCCCGTT